GTGCAACGCACGATCCACCACTAGTTTTTGTTAAAAATAAGATATTGAAACGGATTTCAATAAATAAAATTAAATAAAATTTGTGATTCTAGAATGGTGGAATTCATGAGATTAAAATTAATTATTAATTTTAACATTGATTAAAATTTAGATTTTAATTTCCATCAGGCTAAAATGATTATTTGTTAAAATAATCATCTTATTAAATTGTATAATAATAATTTCATTTAAAATCAACGAGAGCCCAATTTATCCTTATGAGAAGACTTGAACTTATCGCGGCATAGAGCTACGGAAAATATAATGCTTAGTTAAAAAAATATATAAAAAAATCAACATATCAATGAGCATGCGAGCAAGAAGCAGAAAAATCATAAGAGCTTACATAAACAAACAAGAATTGAAGTGAAAGAACCGTCCACGTTTTTTTGGAACAAGCTCAATAACAATAATAATAGAACATGATTTGGGATCGGATGGTATTTTCCTTTTTATTTCAATTTTATGTTTGTTGCTTATTTATGCTTTTAACAATTTAAAAACATTTAGAGCGTGTTTGGTGGAAATTAAAATAGAAAAATTAGTCATTATTATTGACTTTTATTAGACGAGTGAGATTCAATAACAACTATATTTTCAAGAGAAAATTACCTAAAAACCTATTTTTAAAGTTTCCTTTTCAAAAAATAGGTGTATTAATTTTCTTTTCAAAAATCAGGTCTTAATTAGGTCTTAATAATTACAATTAATAAAAATTTAATTACAATATATAATTTATCCCAATCCACTTCTCTCTCTCTCTCCAGAAGCTTCCTAGCAGCCTGTCGCCTCTCTCTCTCTCTAATTCCCCAACCCGTCGCCTCCCTTACCAGCCCGTCGCCGTCTTGAGAATCACCGGCGAATCAACTGCTACCTATCCATTGCACAGCTCTGCCGCTTCGTCTCCTAACCCCATCACCCTAGCTGTCGCCGTTGGTACTGTTCGGAGATGGCGGCATTGTGAACGGTGGCGGTGGTTGGTGCTACAGGTGGTCGATGCGCTCCACTACCCACCGGCAACCGTGAGAGTCGTCTGCAGCCACGAAGTGAATGTTGTCATCGGTGCGATCTGAGCGTCGATGTTCTTTTTAACGTCGTTGCTGCAGCTGCGCGTCATCACCGCTGTGGG